CTACTTAGATCTTCCACTAATTTTTTTGGATTTTTTTTTTTTTTTTGATATTGAGAAAGGTGGTTAATTTTGAACATGGTCAACAACTTCTTTGCAAGTGATCCTATCCATTTTATTGTTGCAGTTGTTTTTAAAAAGCCATTTCAACTTTTCCCCCTGTAGGTATTCATATCAGATGGTACTTAGAATCCATTCTCTCTCCATGTCATCTTTTATCCCTCTTCTGTGGTTCCAAATATACACAATGATTTTGAACAAATTCACTATCTTGGTCACTCTGAGTACCACATTAAAATTAATGCCCAGAGCACATTATCCAATTACACATATATATTTCCTATCTATTTAATAACATCCAAAAAGTTACCATCAAGCAATTAATGTGTTGTGTCCTCTGAGGCTTCATCTTATATTTAGTCTGGCACCTCCCACCCCAAGTATGGGCCTCCATCTGGGCAGCCTTAGCATCTCTGGGAACAGTCCTGCAGACTCCTCCCAGCCAAGAGAATCAGAATCTACACTTTAATCAGATTCTGGAGTGACTTATTCACACATCAAAACTGGAGGCAAGTTGGCCTGCCTCAAGCTCCAAGGAGTATGGGCACCCTAGTTAGTTGGACTGCACAGGATTTTCTGTAAGTTGTTTGTGATTCTCTGTCCTCCAACTCTCTAAGTTGCAGTTTAATTTTCTCCATAGTCATCATGTGTTTAGAATGTAAGCTTCGTGAAGCAGGATCTGTGGCAGACCCATGTACAGAGAATCTTGCCTATAAAGGCTTGCAGAACTATCTCAGTAAAATTAGTTGTGATTGGCAATGCAGGTTTTTAAAAAATTTTATATTTATTGGTTGCGCCAGGTCTTAGTTGTGGCGTGTAAACTCTTTATTTGCAGCATGCGGGATCTAGTTCCCTCACCAGGAATTGAGCCCATGCCCCCCTGCATTTGAAGCATGGGGTCTTAGCCACTGGAACACCAGGGAAGTCCCAGTAATGCAGGTTTTAACTCCCTTCCAGCCCTCCACATTGTGCATTAGTAAAAGGCAGACCTTCTGTTTCTGGCTACATTATAATGCACTGAGATAGAACTTCCCTTTAAATAGCTTATGGCAAAGCTCAAGGTAAATTACAACACCCTGGACTCTTTCTCATCAAGAACCTGTCATACTGCATTATCCTGTATCTATTTAATATAGGGTCCACACTGATCCAAGCCCTCGGTTATGTCCTCTGCTGTTTCCCTTTCTGCTTCTGAGCTAATATTTGTGTATTTTAAGAATGATTAATTACTTGGGATCAGACTTAACTGCCTTTTCATACTTTCATTCAACAGATTACTTGATTTTTAAGAATATTTCACATGAGGTTACTAACTGATCAGTCCTTTCTAAACTGAAGACCCTGTCTCTAGTGCCATGTATTTACTTGGGACTATGTTAGGATAGTGAATAGAGTAGCTTTATATTTACCATGGAACCAGATTAATTGTTCAGAAAAATGACTCAAGCTTTTAAGTGAGCTATGTTTCCTATTTTCAGTTTTTACATCTAGTATTATTACACTAAGCAAGATAAAGGACTAAAATTACTTAGATGATGACTAATCAATAAAATTGTTTATGGAATAGGGATATTATGATTTGCTGAATATTATAGTTAACTTTGCTATATCATAAAACATCTTTGATATTAAATAATTTAAACTGTAAAGCATGCTTATTAAAGCATGATCCATGTATAACTTGCATCACAATCACCTGTAACTGAAGAAAAACATTACTTGGAGATGGTCCTATAGTACTTGTTAAAGATGCAACTTCCCTATGTGTACTTACACAGAACAATCTCCAAGACTCCAAGATACACGAAATAAGAAAAAGTAAAGTGCAGAACAATGTACACAATATGCAACTATCTGTACAGAGACAAGTGGAGCACACACCTAAGTGTACAAACCATGTGTGAATATACAAATGGCTTAACACTGTCTCTAGAAAGGGGAGCCATGTAATTGGAAAACAAGGGGAGGCAGAAGATATTTTATTTTATGCTGTATATTTTATGCCTTTTGACCTTTATAACATATTATGAACAATATGTTCAAACAAATAACTAAGAGAAAGTCATCTTAAAATGCACATTCTCAGGCTTATTCTGGTCCTCCTCAGTCAGAATCTTTGGAACTAGGGCCTAGAAATGTTAATGTTTAGAATAGTCCCCAGATGACTCTCATGAACAAATTTGAGATCACTGCTTTATTATCTATGACACTATAAAATTTGCCCTTTATTGGGAAAAATTTAACTCTGCCAAATTCAGTTAAAAAAAAAAAGGTGAATCCATTAAAGTAACTATTTATAACTTAAATTCACAACTTATACTGACAATGTAAACAGCATGACCATACAAAAGACTTATGCTCTTTTGTCAATAAGCAGGAAGAAAAAAGACTTAAATACCATTAACAAAAAAATCAGAGAGCCTTTCTTATAGCAAGTTTGCATTTTTGATACCAGCTTATTCAAAGACATCAAAGAAACAATAGTGGTGAAGACAGAAATCTAATTTGGAATGTATATCACGTAACTAGGGAATGGGTGAGAGAAATCAGTTTATCTGGGTTATCATTACTGGAACATAAGCATGCACTGTAATAATAGGGAGAGCTAGTCCGAGATGCAGAGAATGTATCAGCTGCCAAAACAACTGGTTCAAGATTGCATTAGCATGGTGAGAACCAATGCTTGACTAGAGTGTTTACAGTTTTAAAAATAGTCAAAGCAGAAGAAAAGATACTAACAGATGCTGAAGTCAGCCTTATTTCATATAAGATAGTTAATGCAGATCTAGCTAGAGCTATGAAAACAATTTAAGCCATGCAAAAAAAAATAATAATACTGAAAAAAATACTTTAAAAAATTTAAGTGGTATCATTTGTGTATCTGGATGAAGACACCCAAAACTAAATGCAAAAATTGGGAATTTGGGTTGAAAACATTTTTAGAAGATAATTAACTGCAAGATGAAAGGAGCAGACTCAACTGTGCAGAGAATAAACTTTTGATATCTATCCATTTCAACTCTGTTACTAAATTAATGTACTAGCTTTGGTTAGCCACTCTGGGCTTCAGTTTCCTCATCAGGAAAATAAGTAATACAGTACCTTCACTTATTGTTATGATAGTTTTAAACAAGAAAACATATGAAAGATCTAGCATGATAATTATCATTACTGCATGATAAATATCAGTTTTTTCCTTCTCCTCTAAGTAAGGGAACTGTGAGAAACATAATTCCAAAATTTTCACTGGGTGACTAAGTATTCAAGAGTAAAAAGAGACCTGGAAAGATGAAAAAAAAAAGAAAAACACAGTTGCCCAAGATACAAAGATAGTATATCACAAACTCGGAAGAAAAGCCCAAGTCTCTTGTTCCTCTAGGAGTCTGAGGGAAGACTGTGCCCAAGAAAGAAACTGAACCAATATGGTACTGAATTATACAGTTTTCTGGAAATTATGTGCCCAGGAAGTATCATCTGTCAGGAATAACAAGATCTAAGTACCCAATAAATTTGAATATGGTTTTACTGAAATTCTAAGTCATTTTAAAGCAGAAGTACTTACGTCAATTCTAACATATAATACATTTAAGCCATTATATGAATTTAAGTTTTTATTTGTGTATTTCACTGTAGTGCTGTGACAACAAAATGACATCTGTATACCAGAGCATACATATATTAACAGTAAGATGTAACTTTTCATTACACCACTGCTATAATATTTAGCTTTTTGTAGGACACATAAGCATGTAAGATGGCCACACCAAATAATTTTCTGGTTTTTTTCTTAGATAATCTTAATTTTTTTTTTTTCAGTAATACTTTATCAACCTCACTGTTAATAGAACTGTAAATTATCTGGGTGATGGGGTATAGGGGCAGGGGGAGGGATCATTCAACTGTGTTATACTGTAATAGTTGCTAGAGTAATCTCACACACACACCAATAAGGAACTGTCTTCATAATTAAGGGCTAGTTACTGTTGTTAGTTGCACAATGATAAAGTTCTTTGAAAATATTGGTTAGCCCACTTATATATGAAAAATGCCCTTTCCACTTATGCAGAAGAAAAAAATATTCAGAAAGTTATTTTTGGCCTTGCTATGTCAAAAAGTCAACTGTACAAAGATCTACGTGTCAAACCTAAAATTATAATTTTAAAAGTCTATTAAAAACAAAAATGTCATGCATTTTTATTATCAATTATGCAGAGGCTTTAAAACTGTTGCAAGACCATATATTATATATTAGCTTTTATATTGCTAATGCACAACTAACAGCAAACTTGATTAGATTAACAGAAATCTGTCTTAATTACACCTTTATATATCACACTAGAGAGACAAATGCCACAAGATCTGCAGAAACATTTAGTTCTGAGCACTTAAATGGCAGGATAACTTTTTGTGTTGTAATCCATCACATAAAGAAAAACAAAACGAAAAAAATTCTGCAGTCTCACGTTACAAAAAAACGTACTGCTGTAAAATATCAAGAAGGCGTAAAGGATATCTATAACACAAAGTAACAACTAGTATCAAACAGCAAACAAAACTCTAAATAAAAGTATCAAAATACACATAGTAACTGAAGCACAAATACTGCATTAAATACAGTAAAGATTTAATAGGACTAGTTAATAAAAGACACAAATATAGGGGGAGCTACGGCAACCAGTAAATAAAACCAAAATAACGGGAAAAAAATCAGAACCATTTTAATTCCCCAAGCTGGAGCACAATTTTGGGGGTGGTGGTGTCTTTCCATTCATATAATACCTAACACTGTACATTAAGATTTTAGTATCATAGAAAAACTTGGTTCTTCCATGAAATTCTTTAAATTCTCGATAATTTTTTCAAAGTAGACATCATTATGAATGAAAAACAGCCAACGAATGGGCACCTGTTGTTTTTTAACACTGTAGATTTACAGAAACTTTTTAAAAGTTATCATAATCTTTTTTGTCTTTTTTCCCCTCAGCTTCAAATCCATCAACTCCATCACTATCCCTTCTTCGTTTTCTGTTGTTATGGATGTTAAAACGCTGGTTCATCTGTGGTAGTGGATCCATGCCTAGAACTTTGTGTATCTGGCGGAATGCAAGGAGTCGCAATGCAAACTGCAACAAAAAGAAAATTTAGTCAAATTAAAGAACTAATATTAATTCTTATTAGGTTTACAGTCCCACATAACAATATAAAAAAGCATGTTTAATGAAAGAAACACCTTAAACAAGATTAAGGTTCACAAATGAAAGACTCTGTATGTTCTGAAGTTTTTATTTTCAGGTTTTTCTGTGTGCATGCTATTTTTTTTTTAAATGTAAGTTAAAAAAATATTTAACAAAATGATTATGCTCATTTAAAAATCCTAAGAGTATACAGCAAAAAAAAAAAGCATCTCACTCATCAAATGAACCTCTCTTTGGTTCATATTCACATATCTTGGAACTTTTCCTATGGACGTCCATGTGCTCATCCTCAGGCACATGTGCCTCGGAACACACACCTCCCCAGGTTTACAAAATGAGGATTATATTTCTTCAACTTGTTACTTTGTGAACTAAAAAAAGATTTTTCACTATTGTGGCTATATATATATAGGAATACATTAGGCATCAATGTCACAAGACCTCATGTGTCATAGGATATTTTGAGACATAGTTTCCCAATATTCTGAGAAATATTTAAGGAGATTCTACAGTCATTTGATTAAAAGGCAACTATGTGGTTAAACCTTCAATATAACTGTTCAGACTACTTCCTGAGATGTAATTCCATATAAGATTTGTTTTTTTAAAGTATACAATTCAGTTGTTGTTTTTTTTTTAGTATACTTACAATTTTTCAACATTAACTACTCTCTAATCCCAGAACATTTTCATCACCTCCCAATGTCTCACCCTCCCTTCACCCCAAAGCCCCATGGCCCAAGAGCAGTCATTCCTCAATCCCTTTACCCTGAGGCCCTTGCAACTATCAATCTACTTTTGTAACTTGACAGATTTGCCTATTATAGACATTTCATATAAACAAAATGATACAATATGACTTTTTGTGTCTGGCTTCTTCCACTTAGCATAAGGTTTTCAAGATTCATCTACCTTGTACTTATCAGCACTTCATTCCTTTTAATGGCTGAGTAATTTTCCACTGTATGAATATATCACATCTGTTTATCTACCCATCCATCAATTGATGGACACTTGGGATGCTTCCACTTTCTGGAAATTATGCAAAATGCTACTATTTATGAGGTGAAACTAGGGATTATTTATCATAACAGGATAGTATTTATTTAGAGTTACTTAAAAAAAGGTATTTCCCAAAGATAAACAGAATAAGGTTTTCTTCTACATTTAAAGAAAATATCCAAAGATATCTGATGCATAAAAATGAATAGTAACACACTTTTACTACAGAAATATCGCTACTGATCCTCAGCCTATTCTCATACTAGGAGTTTCTAAACAGAAGAGTACTTCAGTAAGGAAAACTACAGTAGCATCTGAGGCTGGAGTGAGCACTCTGTAAGCTCTTGTTCTGCATGTGATTTGTATGTACTTCTAAATTCTAACAAGAGACATTTCTAATGTATAATTGGAAATTATTTAAAAGCAAATGAAATTTGAGGGTACTGAAATTATTCCCATACAAAGTCATGTTGGAATTTTTAAAAACAACATCAAAGAAGATGTAAGCTTTACTTAATCCTTTTTTGAGAGGGAAGATAACCTTACAGATGTGCTTTTTAAAGATATGCTGCTCTATTGGACACCTACAGGAAGGCATCTGAATAAATGACAAAAGCTACATCTTGCAGAAGCAACTCGAAAAAGATCACTAGAGAATACAGATACAAAATCAAAGGTAAATATTATGGAAGGAAAAGAAGAAAAGTCCCAGACAAAGGAAAAAAGCAAATTATTAATATGGGCACTATGGCCCACCAAAAAAGAAACTGAAATTGACCTAGGTACAATCCATACAGCTTATTCAGATTTCACCAGTTATACACACACTTGGTTTATGTGCGATGTATACAGCTCTATGTAACTTTACCACATGTGTAGGTTTGCATTAATCACCATTACAAGGCACTATACTATCACCACAAAACTCTCACTAGCCACATCTATCCTCACCCCTATCCCTAACTCTGAGGAATCACTAATCTGTTGTTAGTTCACAAATGTTATAAAGATGGAATGATGCAGTATACGTAACTTCCTCACTTTTATTTATCAAAGTATAGTTAATGTACAATTATTAAATAATTAACTGGTGCCCAATACAGTGACTCATAATTTTTAAAGGTTATACAGTTATTATTAATATACTATTTCCCTATGCTGTAAATATATTCTTATAGCTTATTTTATATGCAACGGTTTGTACCTTTTAATTCCTTATCCCAATACTGCTCCTCCCTACTTCCCTCTCCCCAATGGTAACCACTAGTTTGTTCTGTGAGTCTGCTTCATTTTTTTGTTATATTTACTAGGCTTGCTCTATTTTCTACATTTCATATAAAAGTGATGGGCTTCCTAGGTGGTACGAGTGGTACCTCCAATGCAGGAGACATAAAGAGATGTGGGTTCGATCCCTGGGTTGGGAAGATACCCTGGAGGAAGGCATGGCAACCTATTACAGTATTCTTGCCTGGAGAATCCCATGGACAGAGGAGCCTGGCAGGCTACGGTCCATGGGGTTGCAAAGAGTCAGACACAATTTAAGTGACTTAGCATAAGTGATACATAGCATCTGTCTTTCTCTGACTTACTTCACTTAGCACAATACCCTCCAAGTCTATCCATATTATTGGGAATAGCAAAAATTCTATTCTTTTTTATGGCTGAGAAGTACTCCATTGTATATATACCGTATCTTCTTTATCCATTCATCTGCTGATGGATACTAAGATTGCTTCCTTATCTTGGCATTGTAAATAATGCTACTGTGAATACTGGGGTATGTATATCTTTTCAAATTAAAGTTTTTTGTTTTGTTTTCTGGCCATACACCTAGGAGAAACTGTTGGGTCATGTAGCTCTAGTTTTTCTGAGAAACCTCCATACTGTTCTCCACAGTGGCTGCACCAACTTACATTCCCACCAACAGTGTATGAGGTTCCCTTTTCTCCACTGACTTTTAACACTTTTCACTTCTTCACTTTTACCAAGGACATTTCTAACTACCTCCTAAAATCAGACCACTTTCTTCAAAGTCACATTAAAGGTTTCCTTCCTTCCAACTAAGAATTCTCTTATTAGTTTTCAAATGCCCTGCTTCTTACCCTAAAAAATCATTTACGTACCAATGAAGAAAAAAGCCACTTAGGGTAAACTGTCATCTTCCCTAGAAAATTAAACCCAAAGAAATGAAAACAAACCTTGTTTAATACACACAAACTGGAAATCTTGTGAGTCTGTAAGATATTCGTAATATACTCTTATCATTGACTCTTCCTAAATTGTTTAACCTAACAATTTATTTTAATCCTGACCTCTTCCAAATTATTCTTGCCAGAAGAGACAGCAGACAAAATCTTAAGTCCAACAAGCACAACTGCTTTAGACTAGATTGTTATTGTTTATAGTTGTTAGCCATTTCTCCTCTTAGCACACTTCTGGAGTCGAAAAAGGAAAGCTGTATAAGTTTTAGACTGATTGAAAGATTTAATTTATTTAATCTTCCCAACAATCCTCTTTGAGACAGATACTGCTCTTATCCCTTATAGAAGAGATGCAGAGCTGATATTTAAACTCAGGAGTCTAGACTTCAGAGCCCACACTTTTAATTACTATATTAGCTGGTCTTTTCAGTGGCAGGAAAGGCTAAATCATAACAAAAATTTCCATAAACCAAACAGCACATCACTTTTGTATACCCAAAGACATGAATAGTTACTCTACTGATCCTGACATAATACAACAGCTTGATTTAATGATACTGAAAATATTGCAGTATTTTTATATTTATAGAGGACACAACACAGTTAAAATAATAAAATTGAAGATTAATGAAATTTAGTTTAAATTATATCCTCTCTAAGAGCTTACTTACTAAAGAAGCAGAATAATGAATACTACACAGTAATTTCTTCTAGAGGACAACTATAAAAAAAAACAAAACTGTAAGGGAAGTGATAAAACAAAGCCCTGGGATTAGGAACGCAATGGTACCTGTGCACTGGATGTGATGTCTTCACGCTGCTGGTCAGTCATTGTCGCCAAGGTATCAAAGGGATCCTTCTCACAAGGATCCAGAAGTCCAGGACTACCTACAGCAATCACCACAGGCAGAATAAAGTATCATCATCATCCATTTGTAGAAGAGTGAGTAATTCTCATTCAACCATCAAACACACAGATGTTTTTAATGTTTATTAAAAATGAAGTAAAACTTACCTTTAAGAATAATCCCTGAAGAAATGCACTCAAAAACTCTTCTCAGAGCATCTCCAGGGCTTTGAGGACTAGAAGCACTACTGATTGCTTTCTCTACTAGTAACTCCATCGCCTAAAAACAAAAACATAAAAATGTGTCTGACAGCTTACAGCCCAAAGGAATTATTCATTTCCAGAATGACAAAATACTTATGAAACTGTCATTAATTTTGGAGACTGGGGCTTCCCTGACTGCTCGGTGGTGAAGAATCGGCCTGCCAATACAGGGAACATGGGTGTGATCCCTGGTCCGAGGACCCCTCATGCTGCAGAGCACCAAGCCCGTGTGCCACACCGTTGAGAATGTGCTCCAGGGTCTGGGAGCTGCAACTACTGAGCCCACGTGCCACAACTGCTGAAGCCTGAGGGCCCTGGAGCCCGTGCTCCGCAGAGGGAGAAGCCATTCCCAGGAGAAGCCTGTGTGTCTCAACTGGAGAGAAGCCCCCGCTCGCCTCAACTAGAGCCAAGTCTGCACAGCAATGAAGATCCAGTAGAGCCAAAAATAAAAATAAGTAAAATTATTAACAGAGAAATTTTTGAAGACTGAAAAAATCACACTAAGTCACAAAATCAGAAAATAAAAATTACATGTAAAAAGAAATTACATGTAATATAAAATTAAAAATAAGTAATGAAAACAAAATAAGGCAATATATAATTTATATCTTAAAAATTATTTTGTAATTTGTGCTTAATGAAAAATAGATTAATGATTTTTTGTTTTGGATTTTCAGTTACTTCTATCCTTTCCTATTAAAATATGACAGTCCTTAAAATTCTTTAGATATTTAGGACTCACATATATTTATTCTTTAATGCCTACATACTGATAATACTGAAGAGTTATAGCAAGACCATACTCTACCAAGTAAAGAAGACTTGTATTTTTTCTTCATGAACAATTATCTAAATTTTCATACAACTGTACTTCTATTATCCTTAAAGAAAATATAAATTATACCTTCACTGTAAATTACACTTGAGACTCAAAATCAGTTAAAACCAATGAATAAAAGAAAGAAGTATGGATTTAGATCCAGAAAGCATTTTGAAGAGTTTACTAGAAAAATCTGCTTCCATTTAGATTTTAAAAATTAAGATATAATGTACAACTCAGTGGGTTTTAGTACATTTAGAAAGTTGTTCAACCATAACCATTCTCTAATTCCAGAACATCTCATCACCCCCAAAGAAACGCCATACTTACTAGTAGCTATTCTCCATTCTCTTTCCTTCAGCCCCTGGCAACCAATAAACCACTTTCTATTTCTATAGATTTGCATTTTCTAAATATTTTATACAAATGGAACCATATAATATGTCACTTTTTGTGTCTAGTTTCTTTTACTTAGCATTATGTTTAAGGTTTATCCACGTTGCAGCTTTTACTCAAACTTTAAATAAAATCACCAATAACAATTCAAAGAAACTAAACAGACTGAAACTAGAATGAAACCCTTACAATGATAATGAAGTTTAAAACACTGAGGACCGATTTTCAGTTGTGTACTTAAAAAACTCATAGATTTAATTAGAGGTAAAAACTACATCCACCTACTCACCCCAAGGCCATTACTCAGATCTTTTAAGTAAGAATAATTCTTAAAGATTGGATATGTGGAGGTTTTAGTTCCAAACAAATTAGGAATAAGTTGTAAGAGAGATACGAATCTGAAGAGAGTACACATAAAAAGCTATATAAAAAAAAGACAGCTAGAAGCATGAAGTTGAAAAAAATGTGAGAAAAATGGGTGTTAATAATGATAGTGTAAATTACAACAAAAAAATTAAGATCGTTCAGTCTAATTCAGCTGAAGAACGTAGTAAGTTGTTCAAGACACAAGACCCTTAAAGGGTCTTCATTTAAAAATTTTAGTATTTTAAGGTATCAGCTTCAGTTATCTAGGCAATTCTATGAATGTATATTAAACACTTTTCCTGTCCAGACAAGTATTATTTCAAGATGTCCAAAAGACTGAAATCTTTGAAGATAAGGACTGTCAATTGTCATTTATGGAACCCCTTTGTCTAGCATAAATGGCTGGCATATAGAAAGTACTTAATAAGTATCTATGATCAAAATACTTTTGGAAAGAAATGTGAAAATAATCCTGCTAATTAAAGAAATCAAGAGTTGTAATTAACAAGTTACTAAGATACAAAATTAATGTCTTAAAATATGCACCTTCCCAAAAATAACTCAAATTTATAAGTACTTTTAGAGAATGTTAAGGGAAAAACAAATATTCAATAATCAGCTATAATACAGGTGCGTGCATACTAAGTGCTCAGTCATGTCCAACTCTGCAACCCTAAGGACTGAAGCCTGCCAGGCTCCTCTGTCCATGGGATTCTCCAGGCAAGATTATTGGAGTGGGTTGTCATGCCCTCCTCCAGGGGATTTTTTCGACCCAGGGACTGAACCCAAGTCTCTTAAGTCTCTTGTATTGGCAGGTGGGCTTTTTTAACTACTAGCACCACCTGGGAAGCCCCAGAATATAGTTATGTCAAGATATAAAAATATTATAGGTAATTCAATGTTTTAAGACCTGCTTATTGACTGACCTTTAGTGGGAATATGTAATTTATACTTATGTATTAAGGTAGAAACTAAATAAGAACCAAGAAAGAAATGAGTATTTATGAAACACAAAGTCCATATATTGAATCACAGGAAGACTAAGTCAACTATCTGCCTTCTGAGATCACTTGCTATGAAGTAAGCAATTTAAAAATGCTAATTTTCTATAGAACATGGCTGGTCTCCAAGCAGATGTCCACAGTTAGGAAAGCAACAAAAGTATTAGGAGGTTTATATACTCTTAAATGCATGCATTCAAAAGTAAAAGGACAAAAAAAGGTAAAAGGACAACATCAAAGACAAACAGAATCAAACAAGGGAAATGATTATTTAGGCAATAATGCAAAGAATTTTGATGGCAAAAGTTACTTAAAAAAGAAATGCTCTCTTAAATATTATGTTAAATGACATGAAATCCAGGATTGCAATATCTGCTTCAGGAAAACATTCATGTGGTATATATTCTTCCTTCCCATCTTTAACAGTAGTAACTTACTCCTGCAAGTGAAAAGAAAGTTATTTGCCCTGTGATGTCAGTGTTCTATCATTTATCATTTAGAATCTCCTCACTGGTTCTAAAACTGACAAACAGGAGCTCTCTCACTACAAGTCATCATCACTAAAATCTAATACACTCTTCCAAACAAACAAACAAACAGGGCTTCCCAGGTGGTTCAGATGGTAAACAATCTGGCTGCAATACAGGAGAGCGGGTTTGTTCCCTGGGTCAGGAAAATCACTTGGAGAAGGGAATGCCTACCCACTCCAGTATTCTTGCCTAGAGAATTCCATGAACAGAGGAGCCTGGGAGTTACAGTCCATGGGGTTGCAAAGACTTGGACACAACTGAGCAACTAACACTTGAAAAATAAAATGTGAAAATATATGTTGAGCACATATTTTAACTGCTGTATGAGCAAAAAGAACAATTACAGCCTCTCAGCCTCTTCTTTGGGGACTATCTCATCATTTCACAAATAATTCTTTTTTTTTTTTAAATAAAAAAAGATAAAATTCACGTAATATAAAGTTAACTATTTTAAAGTGAACACTTCAGTGGCATTTAGTACACCTACTAATATGTTGAACAACAGCCACCTCTATCTAGCTCAAACATTTCTATTACTCCAAAGTAAAACCCCCGGCTCATCATGCAGTTTCTCCTCGTTCTCTCATTGTCTAAGCCTCAGGCAACTGCCAACCTTCATTCTATCTATCTGGATCTGCTATTCTGGGTATATTATACAAATGCTATCATATAATGCGTAACCTTTTGTGTCTGGCTTCCTTCACTCAGCATGATGTTTTGGAGGTTCATCCATGACAGATCATTCTCTTTCATCAAATATTCCTTAGCTTAATATAGTTTAAAAATAAAATATACAATAAACATTAAAACATTAACTTTTTTGGGGAAAAAAAAAGCCTTTCTGCAATTTACAGCAGGTATACCATTCTAAAGGTATGCCAATCTAATAGAGGTTTCTATTCTACACAGCATTTCTTAAGTCAGATCAACCTTACAAGAGAATTTTACCTATACTTTCTTTATTTCATCATTATAGATTTAGGACAAAAGAAGAACTAATTTGAAGGCAGTATATTATTTGCTGTACTCACTGTAGTGGTAAACACTAAAGGCAGGTGTTAGGACTTAGATTTATTCAAAGAGAGTAATCTGAAGGCTAAACAAAATTGAAGATCAAGTTCACAAGAACTTCAAATTTCTTTCATGCAAACCAAGAAGAAAAGTTACTTTCTGCTTAAGGTGACAGTACAAAGCCCAATCTCAAGATCTCTTGCCCCCCAAACCTGGTTATGATTAAAGAAACATGTATGAAGCACATTATCACCATCCAAACAAATATAAAATGGCTTCAATTAAATGGAGGAAAAGGCCAGTGAAAAGAGTATTTTTGAGAAAGTGAGTGGGCTTGGGCAACGCTCCATTTACAGTTCTCTAACTGGCTCTTTAGAAGAAAATGGGGAAGGGGTCGGCAGTAGAGTGGGCAAAAAAACCCAAAAATTTCACCAGAACTCTCCCAACTCAGAGAGTAAGAACAAGTCATGTTGCGGGTAGCCCCAGGCAAAGAAATATTTCTAAACATAACCACCTTTCATCCAACCAGAGAAAGGAAAAGCAACAGAATTCATCAGTCTGAAGGCTCTTTGTGGAAGACAGGTAGGGAACAGTAGAATTCCAATTATCCACATCTAATTATCTCTAATAATAAATAGACATTTGACTAACATGCAGATAAAACAAACAACAACAACAAAAGATCTTTCAAAGGAGTAAGACAGAGGGGAAAATTAATATCAAAGATTGCTGTGAACTCCCAATGCAAGTTTCCCAAAGTGGCTTCACACACCCCAAACCTTCTGCTGATTCAGGTAACAGAAAGCTCTTATTGAAAGGAGATGGTAAAGAGTTTCAGGAAAAAAACCAGAGCAAATTCTGCACAGGCAAAGGCTCTAGGAGGCCATCATGG